GATTATTTGATTAAATTGCATGATTAATTATATGCAGTTATTAGTATTTGATTGAATTGCGTTATCATTGCTTCGCGGTTACTTTCCTAAACTTCATCGCGTTAGATTGCATTATTTCTAATAATATTTATTATTTTTATTCGTTGTTTCTAAAGTTTTTGAATAATCATCGTTTAATCGAGTGAATTATAGTAATTGAATTTGGTTGGGGGTCACCGGTGACCCCCTCGGCATTCAACGTACTAAAACTGATACGAATTGAATAATATAGAGTTCTTGTTTCTTAAATTGTCTTGCAAAAATGTTCTAAAAGGAATTTCGTTTGAACAATTTTGTAGGGATTAACCGTAATACAGAAATACAATGGATTGTTGAGGGTCAAACTCGATCGTCGAATCGATAAACGATCATCACACATCGGAAATAATTGTAGAAATCGCTTGATTTCCTCGAAAATCAATGATTCCTTCCGCGATCCGTCTCACTTGAGCAGAAACAATAAACTTCGAACGAAGTTCCCTTTAAAATAGATTGTTCGTTGCAAATTGTTCCATTCGAAGGGAAACAATAATAGGATACCTATACTTCGGAATAGTTCAGCAATTCTCGAGTGCGTTCGTCGATGATCAATCCCGTCGAAGAAAAGGAAACATCCGTGACAGGATTCTTTATTTGCCTAGAATTTTCGTTCTCGCTTAACACTTTCGTAGACGTGAATGCTGTATCATTCATTTCCATTGTGATGCACGATCACGTGAATGCTATAACATTCAAATTTATAAGCCACATTATCATGCATTTAATTCCGTGTAATCTGAATCTTTATAAATTATTATGCCCCTTTAACCCGTGGAGCACTACATTTGCATTTTGTCCACTTCTGCAGCTCATTAAAATTTTCACTGTCCGCGAACGTGTTAAAGAGACATTGACTTTTCCGAGATTTTGTTGCTGGATCGCTGCTGCTCTTCGGCTCGTGTAATTGCGCGCTGGTTGGAGGCCACCCTATAGAACGGCAAAGGAGCGTCGCGTCGCTGGCGTGAATAAAATGGACGACAGCGCGGCGTTGTACAGAGTAACGAGGCGTATTCGCACGGTATTGACAGAGGGATGATGGGACGTATCGGAAGCGGTATCCATCGATTGTACGGGCTCTTCTAAATCCCGGGGGAGAGGCGGCTAGTTACCGATGCGCGTTCTCGCCGCGATGATTCGTCCCGGTACGGCGTTTAAGGGGATGTTTTTAGAACACTGCAAATTCTCATCGGCGTTTTGCAAAAAGTTTCATCAGACTTTAACACTAGACAAGTTACCGTTAACCGGAATAACCGAATTTGTCAAAATGCCGTGTTTGTTTTCTTATTTCGCAATGACTGAGCTAACATTTTAACACTAGAACTACTGGACGTGTCGAAATGACCCAATCCTAATTTCATATTTTCAGTTATTCGACGGATAACAGATGATTCTCTGAAAAAGTACTAGAGAAACTGATTTAGCTATACACAAACCGAATTGCAAACCAACTGAAGTCTTAATGATTGCACTGTTGAGGTCTCTATAGAACAATTAAAAAGACAATTTAACTGCTCGGTAGCTTTAGTGTTATGAAACACGTTAATATAGTTCGTTGTGAACGTTGGATGCAAATTGTACGATATTTAACGAACGCTTTATAAACAATCAAAGCGTGGTAACAGTTCGTTGCGACACCCTGTATTTTACGAATCCTTTCGACATCCGCATTTCCTCTTGAACAGACGGTGAACCCGAAAACGAAAGTCAATTCGTTACGTAATTACCGATTCGCAGTTGTAACTGATATTAGGAAATTGATCAAGATTCAGAGTTCGCAGCACCGAATGTAATTGGTGGACGTTAAGATAAAGACAATACGCTATGTCACTATATTTTTGTTGTACCTTCTTATCCAGGAGTGTAATCGAAAGTACGCGTGATAAAGAAAAGGTATTCAATTTTCCTTAAGTATCATCAGATAGTTGAATGAAGTTATAGTTACAGAAGTTACATATTCTCCAATGAGAACACGGAACACGATTTATTCTACACGGGAAATCAGTACATAATTTTACCGATCTCTCTACTCGACGCAATAGAACAATGGTCCCGCATTATTTGATTATCGCCCGGGAAGAAAGCGCAAGATCGAAGGGATTAAAACGAAATGTGACAATCGTCACGCCACTTGATCACTGTTTAAACAACAGAACGCTTCATCGTTCTCAAACGTAACGAGTCTGCGTACTTAAATGGGTATGCGTGTTCCCGGTCCTCCCCGATTCTTCCGGGGCTTTTCATGGGCGCGCGAAATCACTCGCCGGATGTTTGATCCTCACAGATTTGTTCGTCCGTTGCCTCGTCAAATTCCTCGTGGGCGAACGAAGAACCAAATGGGAAATAAAAAACCACGCGATCTTCGCGTAGACCCTAGTAGCGATCTTGACCCCATCTCACGGACAGTCGTTTCAAGGATCCAACCGAAGGAGGAGGACCAATGATCTGGATCGAGATTTTCGTTTCATCCTCCGGCGAACCCAGGACAATATGGACGTCTCTCTCAAATGCCTCTTTTCAACGCTTCGGCCTGCGCGTCTTCAGTTTCTCAAGTTCCGCGAGAAACAGCGAGAAGTCGCTAAACCGCAACGTTTTAGGCCTAACGCAGGCGAATGGTTTCTAGCAACAGACTCTGCTGCGATTGTTTCGAAAGCACAGAGGCACATAGCAGTTTCTGTCTCATAAGCAGAACAGAAGAACTTCTCTATTCTTCGAAAACAATCGCTGCTGCATTTTGCCGCAAACCGTTCGTCTGCATTCAGTCTTAGCCCCAATACACATCATCGGTCAGGTCTCGATCCGCTCTCGGTTCGATCAAGTGTTCTGTTTTGTTTATAACGCGCTATTTACATACGTTCACACTGTGAATCCCGATTCTGTCTTCATCTTCGTTCATCGAAAGCGACAGACAAGCAAAGAATTTTGAGCGAACCGAGTACGGTTCGCCTCTTCCAAGCTGAGCGTCGATCTTAGAGCTAAATGGGTAGCGGAGCTAAGGAAGATGTCCAATCGCCGCCGACCCGGTTATTAGTTTCGGCACGTCCTTGTTTTTAGCCCAGTCGGCCGTTTCCCCTGGCCACCTGTCCACGTAGCCGCTGAAATCGAGGCTCAGCTCGGAAAAGGCGAACCGCGACGTGTATCGAGCCCTGCCATTTCATCTAAACGACTAAAAACGTCACGTACCCTGCTCGTTAACGATTCTGTGTGGTTTTGCCGAGGACCGTAACCCGATTAACAGCATCCGCGTGATATCACGGACGGTATAGGCGTGCGAAACCGAGCGAGGGGCCAGGTAAGTCGATCTTTCGGGCGGCGCTCTCGATCGGCCTCGATCCCCAGAGCGATTCGCGAGAGAAGCGTGTCCCGTGCCCGCACGATGACTCACGGGCGGGTTGCATCACCGTTTCTGTACACGCACTAACCAGACAGGTAAAAGAATATCGTTCATTTCTCTTAACGATCCCGACGGAGGAGGTGAATCATCGAGACGCCGTTGTTGTACGTTCACTTGTATTGCCGA